ATTCAACCTATATGCTGCCTGCATATTTTGGAGATCTCCAGATGTTTGTTGAACCGGAGATTCCTCATATTGTGCACGGTTTTAGAAGACTTAATTTCAGACATGCTGCTTCTGACTAAGGGAAGAACTGAGGACAGGAAATTTGGTAGGGTTTTTTGGCAATGAAGGCCGGAAATAACAAGGGCTATGAAGGTTGAAAAAAACTTTCAGAGTTTATGGCTCTAATACCTTGTGGTTTTGAATGAGAATTATGTATTTAGTTGAGCCAAAACACGGCTATTTATACACGGTATACAGGCTGTCATTACAGCTATGATTACATCAAAAAAAGGAAACAAAAACTATTTAGGAAACAAATCACCTAATCAAGAAACAGGAAACTAATTACACATTAATCCTTGAAAGTCAACTATCTACTTCCCTAAAATGTATTCGGATTCTTTCCTATTTTCTGACATGCAACTCAAAAGGGCTATAGGTGCTACTCCATAGAAAAGAGGAAGTACTTTGTGTCTAGGGATGTCACCTTCTTTGAAGATCAACTTGCGTTTACCAAAAATTTCCTTCAGGGGGAGAAAATATGGGAAGATAATTTTTGGGAGAAGTTAAAATATCTTGTAGTTCCAAACTCCAAATCTTTGGACCTTAAGTCTTGGGAATTTTTTTGGGATTTTGCTCCTCCTCCAGATATTACAAACCGTGAACCTAGGGATTCTAGTCTTAATGAAACATCCCATGAAGTAGAGAATCATGGTAAAAAGTTTGAAAATATTCCTGGCTTAAATCAGACAGATCCACCTGTTATAGAGCCTGAAAATTTCCCGACCACTACCGTAGAAAATTCCACTAAAATTTCGAATAATGTTCAGTCAAATCTACTCGTACTCGAACCACCTGGCTATGATCAACCACACACTATCACAGAACAGGTAGATAATCCTTCAAAGCCTGACAATCCCACACAAGTTCAAAACCTTAGAGCACTAAAGTCTATAAGGCAAGAACATAAAAAAATTAAGGAGGGTGATCTGCAATCATTTGATCTAACCTATTCACGCAGGAAGAGCCAAAAAGTTGGAGAAAGCTAAAAGGTTACTCACCACCAAGAATCTAACCCAGAGTTTAGTCTTGAAGGGGAGTTGGAGGATTTAGGCATTCTTATTGCTCTGAGAAAGGGTACCAGATCCTGTACCAAACACCCTATAACCAATTATGTAGGGTATGATTATTTGTCGGGACCAATGAAAGTCTTGGTGTCTAATATGGCAAGTGTGGAGATACCAAGAGATATCCAGGAGGCAATGGAAAAAGCGGAATGGAGACGAGCTCTTGGAAGAAATGGGAGCTCTAAAGAAGAATGGCACGTGGGACATTGTGAAAAAACCCAGAGATAAGATTCCAGTTGGGTGCAAGTGGGTATTCACAGTCAAGTATAAGGCAGATGGTTCAATTGAAAGATATAAAGCTCGGTTGGTGGCTAAGGGCTATAGACAGACGTATGGAATAGATTATCAGGAGACCTTTGTACCTGTAGCCAAAATTAATGTTGTTTGAGTTCTGTTGTCTCTAGCAGCAAATTTGGATTGGCCATTGCAACAACTTGATGTGAAAAACACATTTCTTAATGGTTACCTGGAGGAAGAAGTTTATATGGAGCTACTGTTGCGTGGTATTTATGCTTGCAAGTGCACGTATCGCAAACAAGTAATAAAGAGTGAATAAGAGTGTCGATCCCACGAGGATTGAGTCACCAAAAGTACGTGTTGGAAGTTGTATATTCAACAAAACAAGTAATGAATGAATGTGGCACAAATTCACTAAAATGATGTAAATAAAATGGATGCAGACGAAGTGCAATCTAAATGGCTAACAGTAACAAGAACGTAATGATGGGCTGTAATTCAGTGGTGAAAATGAGCTACGTCTACTAACTTCCCCTCAATTGCAAGTCTGACTAAAATGTTACCTAGAATGCTGCAGCATTTACTGGCCCTGTTAACAGAAACTCCGTTATTGCATAAAATTCTTCCGAATTAGTTATGACTAAGGTTCCTTAAACCATTTCCAGCATATTCTTATGTGAATCCAACTTCCAGAATGCAAATTTAAACTCAGGTTTCTTTAAGTTATGCAAGGTGAATAATATATTCTTATACCATCCACTACTCAACAAATAAGCAAGGTTATTGAACAAGCATCACTCATGTTAGATCTGATTAAAACTAACCATTCCAGTATTAATCTTAATCTTGTATCCTAAAATTGATGGCCAGTCAAGAATAGAAATAGGCATTACACACATGAATGAACAAGAATAGTAATTAATAGCATCTCATAAACAAATTGTCATCCTTACAACCTTGGTTCCATTAGCAAACCTAGCTAAAACAATTAGTTCATAACAAGCTTTACAGGATTCAAAGTTCCAGAATAATCCATGGCTAAATTAGTAACTAAATACCAAAAGAGAATTAAGCTAACAGAAAGAAGAAAGAGTTTCAGCTGGATTTGGGATTCCTCTTTGTCCGGCCTTGCTTCCTTCAACCTCTTGCTTTCTTTCCTTCACGTCCTTGTATTCAGTTATCTGGAGATAGGTACTCTCTGTCTCCTTTTCTTTTTCTCAGCTCCCCTCCTATGCTTTTTTCTCTCTTGGTAACGTACTATCCATTCTCTCCAGAGGGAGTGCTCTCTGTATTTTCATCTCCAACCCTTAGCCCCCCAGAATACCTTCTTTCTATTTCCTCCCTCACATCTATGTTTTCTTCTTCTTTTTTTTCTTTCTTGGCGGCTGCCTTTTGTTTTCAGAAAGCATTTCCTCTCTAGGGCAACAATAGGGCTGAGGTGTCACTTAATGATGTGTGCAGGAGACCACAATGACACCTGCTCATCCAGCTCACACGGATTCCTTTTGTCTGCTTTCTCTAAGTAGTGCGCTAACGTCATCTACATGCCACAGCTGTTCCCAGAATGCTGCAAGAATGCTGCAGCATTTAGTCCAAGAATTTTCTGCAACGCGCACACACAGGGCTGAGTGGACTTTCTTCCTCTTTCTAATTCAAAATCATCAAATTTTACTACAAGAAGAGTACAAGTACTGAATTCAGCCATAGCAAGTGTAAATTATAAAAAATCTAAGTTAAAACACAAAAGAAACTAGTAAAATCACTCTTGGTCAAGCAACTTTTGAGCTAGAAAACCATTAGATAACTCTAATTTCTTAGAGTTATCAGCTACCGCCCGGGTTCAACAAAGATGGAAGGTGCGATGAAGTATGCAGGTTGAAGAAATCACTATATGGCCAAAAGCAATCACCACGAGCTTGGTTTGACCAATTTACTAAGGTGATCAAAGAGCAGGGATACAAGCAGGTTGCAAGTGATCACACACTATTCTATCGACATAAGGATGGTAAGATTACAATACTCATTCTGTATGTTGATGACATTATTTTGACTGGAAATGATCTTGGAGAAGAACAAACACTCAAGAGGAAGCTGGTAGAAGAGTTCGAGATTAAAGACCTTGGTAGCTTCAGGTATTTTCTTGGAATGGAGATTGCTAGAAACAAAAGTGGGAAAATATGTACTAGATCTCTTGAAAGAAACCGGGATGTTGGGTTGCAAACTAGTAGAGACTCCTATAGAACCAAATAAAAAAATGGAAGTTGTAAAGGATAATAGTCCTGTAGACAAGGGCCGCTTTCAATGTCTAGTTGGGAGACTTATCTACTTGTCTCATACTAGACCTGATATAGCCTTTGTGGTGAGTAAAGTTAGTCAATACATGCATTCTCTTACTGCAGAACATTTAGAAGCTATCTATAGGATTCCGAAGTATTTAAAAGGAATACAAGGACAAGGTTTATTCTTCAAGAAGGGAGAAGATAGAAACATAGAGGTCTATACTGACGCAGATTGGGCTGGCGATGTTGAGGACAGAAGGTCTACCTCGGGGTATTGTACTCGTGTGTGGGGTAATCTTGTAACTTGGAGGAGTAAGAAACAAGTAGTTGTTGCTAGAAGTAGTGCAGAGGCGGAATTGAGATTAGTAGCTCACGGGATTTGTGAGAGTTTGTGGCTGAAAATGTTGGTAGATGAGCTGAAGGTTGGAGTTATGCTACCTCTACGTGTCTACTGAGACAACAAGGCAGCCATAAATATCTCGCATAATCCTGTTCATCATGACAGGACCAAGCATATGGAAGTCGACCGGCATTTCATCAAAGAAAATATAGAAGAAGGAACTATTTGCATGACATATGTTCCTACTACTGGACAAGTGGCTGATATTCTGACTAAGGGATTGGCTAAACCCTTGTTTGAAAAACTGATAGACAAGCTAGGTATGTACAATGTGTACTACCCAGCTTGAGGGTGAGTGTAGCCGAGTATGGAATAATTGTGGGGGAAAGTTATTAGTTGACTTTGAATGATTTCTCTAAAGTTTTGGGATAGGTGATTGGGCAGTTTCTCTCTTTTTTGATTTGTTTCCTTATTTATCTTGTTTCCTTTTATTTGTTGTTCCCTAGCTTATCTATATAAGGAGGTCGGTGTACATGCCTAGCAATATGAATGATAGAACAATAGTTTCATTCTTCTAGCAGTGTTTTCTCCTCTAGTTACTATCTCTTCGGGTTCTTGTTATACGTATTTTGTCATAGAGCAGAGATTTTCCTAGGGTTAAGAGGCATCTTTGATACCATGTGAAAAATAGAGAATGAATTTCAATAATTCTCATTGTTTTCATGGTTGGTCTGTACACACATAAATAGCAAGGATAGAATCACTTCCTGAAATTAAGAAGCTAAAAATGAAAAAAAAAAACAGCTAATTAGGGATTTGGTAATCTTATACCCGAATCCCTTTATTCTAGGAAACAAATCAAACTAATTCTTAGCAACTAATTTCTAGAAATCAGATTACAAATCAATCACTGATTTCCACATTAACTTATATATTTACGTATAATCTGTTTTGACTAAACAATCTTTCATGTGAAAGCGAAACTGCTCCCGTGGTACCAGAATTTCCACCAAAACTTGACTGGTTGAATACTGCTCCCCTGAAATTTAGTAAGGTGAATTCTAGTTACCTTAATAATTTATATTTGGTGAGACCAGGGTATATCGTATTGACTTCATTTTTACTTATAATTTATTATTATTATTATTGGCAGGATCTGAAGGGAAAGGTGGTGGTGCTGGACTTCTGGACTTATTGTTGTATAAATTGCATGCATGTGCTGCCTGATATGGAGTTTTTGGAGAAAAAGTACCAAGATATGCCGGTAAATTATTTATACTGTTTCTGATATCTAATTTGTCAGCAACCTCAGATTTATGGTGATGTCTACTATTTGTTTTATAGAATTGCATTGTAAACAAAATTGTAAATTAATGTGATTTTTAAGCCCTTGGGGGGAACGGAGCAGAGACGTTCATTCAAACTATGGTGTTTTTATTGTGTAATTTCACTATATCCTTGGTTATACAGTTCACAGTTGTGGGAGTACACTCTGCAAAGTTTGATAACGAGAAAGATTTGGAAGCCATTCGCAATGCAGTGTTGCGCTATAACATCACTCACCCAGTAAGCTTCATATTTATTTAATAGTAGTGTCGCTATTCAGTATTTCTTGAAATCTTTGACCTCGTTCGTTTTGTTGATTCGAGTTTTGCTATAGTAAAAAGCTCTCACAAATAGTCACATCTAATTTTTTTTTTACTACAGTAAAAAGCTCTCACATAAAATCACATCTCAACTCAAATTCTAAATTCAAATCAGCGAAACGAACGAGGCATTTATCTTTTCAATTCCGTTTTTCTTCCTGTTCTCCTTTCAATTTACTAATGATTTTTACTCTTAGCATATTAAGCGCCACATTTTTTCCCCTAAAGTACTATCTACGTGGACATAGTTGTTGGAGGCTATGGAAACATCGTAGGCCCCGTTCATTTCACCGATTCGAGTTTAGAATTTGAGTTTTGCTACAGTAAAAAGCTCTCAGAAACAGTCACATCTAACTTTTTTGCTACAGTAAAAAGCTCTCACATAGAATCACATCTCAACTCGAATTACAAACTCGAATCAGCGAAGTGAACGGGCCCGTAGTGTTTGACATTACTTGTCGCCTTGTGTTAATAATGTCGTAATATGACTCACATTTCCCACTCCAGTAACACCACAGATATAGACGTTGATGCAGGGGATACCCTTTCCTCCGTTTCATTTAAACTTAAATCTATTAAGGTTCCGTTTGGAGATTTATATTATGATTTGAATTATAATTTGTAGTTTGTTATAGTATTTTTTTTAAAAAAAATACATGTAAATTAAAAATAATTATAATCTCATGATTCTAATCTATGAACTAAACGACTCTTAAATTTTTTATGATGTATTGTGTCGTTTGAGTTTATGTCGTGTGTTTGTCGTTTTTCTTAGTTAGCTGCTGGTCGTCTCATGTTTTAGACCCAAAGTTGAGACTATCGCTGTTTCTCGCTTCTGGTGGAGTCTAGTTTTTTTTTCCCCCCTTTGTTGAGGCTATACGCAGTTGTGGACTATTGTGGGAAGGAATTGGGATTTTCTCCCCTAATTTTCTCTTGATTTCTCCCTTGAATCTTCCTTTATTCTGAGAATATCTCTTGGTTTGGACGAGATCCACTCCAATTTCTAGTTTCTTTGTTGATTGTTTGCAGCTCTTTTAGGCTTCTACGCTAAAGTGGTATCAGAGAAACGTGGTTCCGTCCGGAGTCGCGAATGGCTGAATGTGACAGCAGCCAGAGTTTTGGCCCCAGCGATTCGCCGGACCCCCATACCATTTGGGCGGCGATCAGATTCCTCGACCTGAAGATTGACGCGAAAACGGAGACATTGACGAATGAGGTGCAGAAAGTGCTCACCCATCTCGAACGTCTCACGATGGCCGCACGTCCTGTTCCACCCACTCACCACGCCACCCAGCCGGCGCCTGATTTTGGACCTCCGGGATTTGTACACCCTACCGAGCGAGTGGCTCGTCCTGCGGCGTACTTCGACCGAGACCTCGGACCTCGCCGTCGCGAGCGACTACTTCTGTTCCTTGATGGCAACAACCGACTGCGTGAGCACACCACGACTATGCCAATTCCTGTAGCCAGAGAACTTGGGCGGACCAATCCTTTCCGATACGCACCGATTCTGCCTAGGCCTAAATTTGATCGCGATCCCACGCGAGTTTGCCAACTGGATTTGGACGATTCCCCTATTGAAGATGAAGTGGAGGCCTGGGCGAACCAACCGCCTAGGAAAATAGTTAACCATATTTGACCTTATCGTTAGTTTGAACCCCGTAATTTCAAATTGAAGATTGATATTCCTGTTTTTGTTGGCTACACGCAAACTGAGGAATTTCTCGACTGGCTGAAAGCTGTTGAAACGTTCTTCGATTACATGGAGGTGCCACCCTCAAAACAGGTCAAGTTGGTGACATTAAAATTCACTGAAGGCACTATCGCTTGGTTGGATTAGCTGACAACCAACCGATATAGACAACGGAGAGGCCCAATTTGTTTATGGCGTCATTTGCGGAAGCTCATGATACGACGGTTCCTACCTCCGGATTATGAACAACACCTCCATTGTCAATAATTGGATTGCCTGCAGCGGGACCGCAGTGTTAGGGACTATGCCAATGAGTTTTATCAACTAAACGCTCGAACAAATATCTGCGAAACCGATGACCAGCAAGTAGCCCAGTTTGTGGGGGGTTAAAAGAGCCGATTCAAGATCAGTTCACTATGCAACTTGTGTGGAATTTGGCTGAGGCAGTGAACTTAGCTCAACGAGCGGAGGAACAGATCAACCGCTCTAAAACCAACACCTTTCAGAGACCACCGAACCAATTGTCTATTGAGTGGAGCAAGTCCACCCTGGCCTTGAGTTATCCTCCAAATGCTTCACCGAGTACCCCGACTCTGCCACAACCGACAAAGGGAAGGCGGCTGCGGCAGCAACAACAAATCCCTATGCTAAACCCTTGCCTCCAGAGTGTTATCGGTGCCAACAACCGGGACATCGCTCTAATGAATGCCCGCAATGGCGCCAACTTGGTTATGCGGGGGAAAATTAGGAGGTAGTGAAAGAATTTGGCGAGTCTGGCGATGAGTTTGTGGATGCCAATGTGGTCCATGGAGATGAAGGGGAAGCCATTGTGTGCATTCTCCAAAAACTGCTCTTCGCACCTAGGCAAGCCCAACTAACGCAGCGCAATGCGATCTTCTGAACTGGATGCACCATCAACACTTAAGTGTGCAATGTCATCATTGATAGTAGAAGTTTTGAAAATGTGGTCTCCTGCTCTTGTCAAAGCACTGGAGCTCAAGACCAAAAAGCACCCAAGCCCATACAAGATTGGTTGGATTAAAAAACGGGTAGCCACAAAGGTACAAGAAATTTGTCAGTGCCTTTTTCCATTGGAAAACTTTATAAAGACGAAGTTGTGTGCGATGTAGTCGATATGGATGCTTGCCATCTACTCCTCGGGTGACCTTGGAAATTATATGTGAATGCCACTCACCGCGGGAAAGATAATACCTATTTTTGTGAATGCCCCCACGGCCCTTCTTTCGCCACAAACACCAACTACACTAGCCACTCTTCTCGCCATCTCTAGAGCCGCCTTCAATAAAAGCCTAAAAGAAAGCGTGTTTGCTTTAGCCCTCTTGGTCACCGAAGCTTCCATATCCAACAACACCCCTCCTCCCGAGGTTAAGGCTCTTCTTGAAGAGCTCCAATACCTCTCCCCAGCCGAGGTACCCAGTGAATTGCTGCCAATGCGGTCCATTCAACACCATATTGACCTCGTCCCCAGTGCTTGTCTTTTGTATCTGCCTCACTACCATATGAGCCCCCGGGAACATGCCATTTTGTAAGAAATGGTGGAAGACCTTCTTAAGAAACAACTCGTCCAGCCTAGCATGAGTCCTTGCGCCGTTCCGGCACTTTTAGTCCCAAAGAAAGATGGCTCTTGGAGGATGTGTGTTGATAGCCGGGCCATCAACAAGATTATCGTGAAGTACCGGTTTCCAATTCCCCGACTCAATGATATGCTTGATAAGCTCGCTAGTGCTAGAATTTTCTCGAAGCTTGATCTTAAGAGTGGCTATCATTAAATACGAATTCGTCCGCTTTCAAAACTAGAGAAGGGCTCTATGAATGGCAAGTTATGCCTTTCGGCCTATGCAACGCTCCGAGTACCTTTATGCACCTTATGCACGAAGTCCTCAAGCCTTTCATTGGGAAATGTGTAGTCGTCTATTTTGATGACATCCTAATCTACAGTGCACATGAGCTTGCTCACATTGACCACCTTCGGTTGGTGCTCCAAACCCTTTGCGAACACAAGTTGTATCTGAATTTGGGTAAATGTGTTTTCTGGGCTACTGAGCTTCCTTTTCTTGGGTTTATCCTGGGCAAAGGGGGAATCGTCGTCGACTCCTCCAAAGTGCAAGCAATCCGTGACTGGCCTACACCCCGCAATGTGCATGACGTGCGGAGTTTTCACGGCTTGGCTACATTTTACCGGCGGTTCATTCGTGGTTTTAGCTCCCTCGCCGCTCCTCTTAGCAATTGCACTAAACAAGGCCGCTTCTAGTGGGATCCCACACAAGAGGACAACTTCCGGATCCACAAAGAGAAGCTTAGTTCCACCACAGTTCATGCCTTACCGGACTTTGAGAAACCATTTGAGGTAGAGACTGATGCCTCCATGACTAGCATAAGGGTTGTTTTGCTTCAAGGACGGGTGGTTGAGTTTTTCAGCGAAAAACTTAGTGATGCACGACAGAAATGGTCCACCTATAAACAAGAACTTTACGCCATCGTCCGAGCCTTCCAGAAATGGGAGCATTTCCTTCTACATCAAGAGTTCATGCCTTGAAGTATCTAAACTCACAAAAGAACCTTAGTCGCATGCATGCTCATTGGGTTTTATTCGTACAGAAGTTCACCTTTGTCTTCAAACACCGCGCCGACAATATGAACAAGGTGGCGGATGCCCTTAGCCGTCGCCATTGTCTCTTGGCCACGCTACAAACCACCGTCACGAGCCTCGACAGCTTTCGCGATTTATATGCTACGGACGAGGATTTTCACCAAATCCGGTCGGCTTGTGAGTCTCATGCGGCCAAAGGAGACTTTTTGATTCATGACGGATTTTTGTTTCGTGGTAACCAGCTATGTGTTCCTAAAACCTCTTTCTGCGAATTCCTCATTCGTGATCTTCATGCAAGAGGCTTGCCAGTGCATACCGGCCGTGACAAAACCATTGCTCTCTTGGAAGCTCGTTTCTTTTGGCCTAAACTTCGTCGGGATGTAGCTCGCTTTGTGGCCTGATGCACCATTTGTCAACGAGCTAAAGGTCACGCTCAAAATATTGGACTCTACACACCCTTACCGATATAAGAAAACATATGGGAGGATGTAAGCATGGATTTTGTGCTTGGCCTACCGAAGACCCCTCAGCATGTCGATATCATTATGCTCGTCGTGGACCATTTTTCCAAAATGGCTCCCTTCGTACCTTGCCGAAAGACTAGCAATGGCAAGCATGTGGCCTTCCTTTACTTTCGAGAGATTGTGCGTCTCCACAGGGTGCCCCATTCCATCACCTCCGATCAGGATGTTAAGTTCCTCAGTCACTTTTGGTGAGAACTTTGGCGGCGTCTCGACACTTCTTTGAACTTCAGCAGTGCCTATCACCCTCAAACAGACAGTCAAACGGAGGTTACCAATCAGACCCTAGGGAACATGCTTCCCTGCCTCGTTGGCGACCATACGAAGCAATAGGATGCACTTCTCGCACAAGCTGAATTTGCCTATAACTCCATGGTCAACCGTTCTATCGGGTATTCTCCATTTTCTATTATTTACACTAAGGTTCCAAATGTGGCATTGGATCTTTGTCTCCTTACTTATTTCCAGAGCAAATCACCTGCTGAAGTTGCTGAACAGGTTGTGCCCATCCATAGGGAGGTTCATGCCAACCTTGAAAATGCCTACACCCGCTACAAGGCGGACGCCGACAAGCATCACTGTTTTAAGTCCTTTTGTTGGAGATTTGGTCATGGTGCATCTCAATAAGCTCGTCTACTCCACGACGTCCCTCACAAGTTCGAAGCTCGGAAATATGGGCCTTTTCGCATCATCCAGAAGCTTTATGACAATGCCTACCAAGTACATCATCCGGTTGAGTTCTCCATCTCCTCCACCTTTAATGTGCAGGATTTGTTTGATTACCATCCTCCCGATGCTGCTCCAGCTTCGGGGATGAATCTTTTTAAAGAAGGGGGCACTGATGTAGGGGATACCCCTTCCTCTGTTTGCATTTAGTCTTAAAGTCTTTTATGTTTTTTATGATGTATTGTCATAAGGGACAGACTTGTGTTGTTTGAGTTTATGTCGTGTGTTTTGGGCCTAAACGGCCTTTTTTGTGTGTTAGTTGCTAGTCATTTCATGTTTTAGACCTAGAGTTGAAATTGTTGTTGTTTCTCGCTTCTGATGGACTCCTCTAGGTTTTTATTTTCCCTTTTGTTGAGGCTGTACGTAGTTGTGGACTATTGTGCAAAGGAATTGGGATTTTCTCCCCTAATTTTCGCATGATTTCTCCATTGAATCTTCCTTTATTCTGAGAATATCTCTTGGTTTGGGTGAGATCCACTCCAATTTCTGGTTTCTTTGTTGATTGTATGTAGCTCTCTTAGGCTTCTACGCTAGACGTGCATCCAATTATCGGACACTGGTATCCTGTTGATCCAACACATTATAAATTTGATCCATTTCTTCTTATTTGGTCTTTCATATTTCAACCATGGACATACCTCAATATTTGGATAAGTTATTAAGGGCTTGTTCATTTCCACCCAAACTCAAAAAATGTTTCAACTCAAGTTACAACTTTTTTCAAGTTCATATTCTTTTGTAAAATATAAGTTTGAACTTGAGTTTGGGGTTAAAATCTGAGTTCAAGTTCTCTCTTCAACTCAATTTCTTAAACTCAAACTCAAGCTAATGAACAATATTTTTTCTATTCTTAAAAACGCCGTAACTTTTTCATTTTAATTCCAATTGAGATGATTGTTTTCTTCTATGTGTTCACAACGAAGAAATGAATAAAACCCCACACATATACCCTATTAAAATTTTTCATCACCATTGAGTTTTTATTAAAATACTATCCAAATACAAATTCAAGTTTTCACCCACCTAAACACAAATTCAAATAGATTCTCAATTCAAACCATAACTCAAAATGTGCACATCCAAACACAAACTCAAATTAGAGTCTCAACTCAAACCATACTCAAATACACATTAACTCAAATTAAGATTGGAACTGAAAATCACCCTAACTCAAAAAATACAAATGAACAATCCCTAAGGTCTCTTGAGCTTTATTATTTTTTAACCAATGGCCATTCTTGAGATGTAAAAGATGGTTCTTCATGTAAGTAAACGGTCTCCATTAAAATTCTTCAAATTAGTGTATTTTGACAATAATTACCATCTTAATGAACCTAGTTTCTGTCTTTACCTTAACTACATGTTGATGTTTAACTGTACCACTAAGTCATTTCATGAGATGTTTTTAGGTTGTGAATGATGGGGAAATGCGGCTATGGCGGGAGCTAGGTGTAAATTCGTGGCCAACTTTTGCTATTATTGGGCCAACTGGTAAGCTTCTTGCACAACTAGCAGGTGAAGGTCGTCGAAAGGTACTACTAATTTTGTGTCAATTTTCTCTCGATAAAATACCATGTATCCATTATCTGTATTTGAACTTGGCATTAGTCAATAAACAACTAAAGAATGGTTCTTCTTGAAGGATCTTGATGATTTAGTGGAGGCAGCTCTTCAGTATTACAGTCGAAAGAAAATCTTAGACAACACTGCACTACCACTGCGTTTGGAGAAAGATAATGATCCTCGCTTGGTTTTGTCCCCGTTGAAGTTTCCTGGGAAGTTGGCAATTGATGTCCTCAACAATAGACTCTTCATTTCTGACAGTAACCATAACCGCATAGTAAGCGTTATCTCTCGTATGATCTTTTCATGGTCCTGAATCCTAAATCCTGATGAGTATGTAGAATTACTCAGCTTGGCATGTTTGAAATTTCAGGTGGTAACTGGCCTTGATGGCAATTTTATTATTCAAATTGGAAGCACAGGAGAGGAAGGTTTACGTGATGGTACCTTTGAGGATGCCTCCTTCAATCGGCCTCAGGTAGGGATAGTGTGAGCAGAGAATGTTTTTATCTCGTATTTTCTGATTTGAATAAGAACATATACAGCCCTCTTTATACACATTAGGATCGGCTAAAGGAAAAAATTCCTAGAATCCTATCTACCATAATGGTCTTGATAATTAGCCTAAATTACTCTAAGTCAACTATAATACAATCAATTACAATCAATCATAATCATCAATTACAATCAATCATGATCATTCCAAATCAATCATTCCGGGATTCCTATAATCCGGGATTTCTACACTCCCTCTCAAGTTGGATCATAGATGTTAATGATTTCCAACTTGCAAATGAAATCATCGAAGTCTTGCCGGGATAGCCCGTTGGTGAAGATGTCTGTTGTATGCTCCTTAGTGGGCATATATGTTAGACATATAATTCCATTCTCAACCTTCTCTTTAATAAAGTGCCTATCTACCTCCACATGTTTAGTTCGATCATGCTGGACCGGGTTGAGAGATATGTTGATGGCTGCTTTATTGTCACAGCAAAGTTTTATTGGAGACTCTACTGTGATACTCAATTCTTCCAGAAGTTTCTTCAACCAGAACCCTTCACATATTCCTTGTGCAACGGCTCTAAATTCGGCTTATGCACTGCTTCTAGCCACGACACTCTATTTCTTACTCCTCCAGGTTACTAAGTTCCCTCAAATATAGGTGCAATATCTAGTAGTGGACCTCCTATCCTTGACTGAGCTAGCCCAGTCAGCGTCTGTGAAAACTTCCACATTCCTACGTTCATCCTTCTTGAAGAGCAATCCTCTGCCTAGAGATCCCTTCAGATACCTCAGAATCTTGTAAACAACCTCCAAGTGTGCCTCTTTTGGTGAGTGCATATGTTGGCTTACTACGCTAACCGTAAATCAACTTGCCGACTAATCTTTGATATCCCTTCTTCTCAACTGGATTACCTTCGTCACTTGCTCTCTTTCCAGCTTTGATAGGTGTGTCACTTGGCTTGCATCCAAGCATCTTAGTTTCAGCTAAAAGATCCAGAGCATACTTTCTTTGAGAAACACTTATGCCCCTTTTTGGCCTAGCCACCTCCATTCCCAAGAAATACCTCATTTGTCCCAAGTCTTTTACTTTGAATTCGGTGGCCAAAGTTCTCTTGAGTCTCTCCATCTCAACGAAATCGTCTCCGGTAGGAATTATATCATCCACATACACAATCAGTATTGTCTTCAACCATCTTTGTTATCATGGAAAAACATAGTATGATCCGAATGTCTTTGTCTGTATCCCTGTTCTTTTATCACTCTTTTAAACCTCTCAAACCAAGCACTTGGTGATTGCTTAAGACCATAAAGAGACTTTTTTAGTTTGCAGACCCGGTTTTTTTTTACCCTTTTTGTAGAAACCTGTGACCAATCTAGATTGACTGCAAGAGATAGTAGTACGCAAATCGTGTTTAGCTTGGCGACAAGTGCGAAAGTCTCTGTGTAGTCGATGCCATAGGTTTGTGTAAACCCTTTTGCAACAAGTCGGGCCTTATAGCGTTCAATCTCCCTATCTGCTTTATATTTTACAGAGAGAAGACCCATTTGCACCCAACTGGTTTCTTTCCAATTGGAAGATTCTTCATCTCCCATGTCTCATTTTTTCCCAAGGCTCTCATCTCCTCCATAACAGCTTCTCTCCACTTAGGAACCTGCAACGCCTCTTGTATGTTCCTTGGAATTTCTGTTGCATCAAGGTTAGTGGTAAAGGCATGCAGTTTATTTGATAGGGCTTTATAGGAGACAAATTTTGAGATTGGATGTAGAGTACATGACCGTGTTTGCTTCCTGAGAGCAATAGGCAGGTTTATGTTGGGAGACTCTGGTGATTCAGAAAGACTAGGAACTACCATTGGTTCTGACTCTCTTGGTGCCTTGGACGTGAGGTGCTCCTTGTACTTTGGTTTCGGCCTCCTTGAGTACACAATTATCTCCTTGACATTTTATTCTTTTGCATCTCCCCCTGAGTTCAAATTTCCTTCTAAAGATGGCAAATTAGAATGTGAAGGTGTGACAGGTTCAAGATTAAATGAAGGCATGGTGGATTGAGATGATTCGGAAAAAGTGGGTTTGGGTATGTCAGATAAAGACATGTCAAACATGTCAATCCCCAAAAAAGGGGCTTCACTCGAATTCTCCCCCTGAAGGTTGGGCTTTTGGAAGTAAGGTGTGTTCTCAAAGGTCACATCACGACTGACAAACACCTTTTTGGTGGTAGTATCATAACATTTGTAGCCTTTTTGTTTGGGAGAATATCTAATGAACACACAATTACGGGCTCGCGGATTAAGTTTGCTTCGATTATGAGACTGAACATGAACAAAAGCGGTGCAACCAAACACTTTGAGAGGTAAAGTTGAACCAATCTGATTAGATGGAAAGGTTTTTTGAATTCTTTGAAGTGGGGTTTCAAATGAAAGAACTCAGCTAGGCATTCTGTTAATGAGGAAGGTGGCTGTGAGAATGGCATCCCCCCAAAACATTTTTGGCATATTTGTGGTGAACATCAAGGCACGAGCAACTTCTAACAGGTGTTTGTTTTTTCGTTCTGCAACCCCATTTTGTTGAGGGGTGTCAGCACACGATCTTTCATAAATAATCCCATTTTTCGTTAAGTAATCCCCCAGCATGGTATTGAAGTATTCAGTGCCATTATCAGTACAAATCATTTGAATATGTGTTTGGAATTGTGTTTGTACCATTAGGTGAAAATTGATGAAGGTAGGACAAACTTCATTTTTTTTCTTTCAATAAGTAAACCCAACAAACACGTGTATGATCATTGATGAACGTAACAAACCATTTTGTATAATTTTGATTTTGGATACGATAGGGTCCCCACAAGAAGTCACTATGAATTAAGGAGAATGGTTTGGTAGGGTTATATATAGATTTTGGAAATGAAGCTCGGTGGTGTTTTGCAAGTTCATAAATTTCACACTGGTAATCAAAGGATTTATTACAAAACATAGAAGGAAACACATGTTTCAAATACTGAAAATTGGGATGTCCCATTCTAAAATGCCATAATAAAATTTCACTATCCCTAGAGGTAGATGCAAAATTACAAATTGCAATTTGACATTGTTTACCCCTATTAGCCTCCTCAAGGTAGTAAAGTCCCTCACATTCCTTTGCACTGCCAATCGTCTTCCCCGATAATAGGTCCTGAAAAACACAATGAGTGGGAAAGAATTTAGTTGAGCAGTTAAAACTTTTTGTAAGTTGACTAATGGATAAAAGATTGCAGGATAATTTTGGAACATGGAGGACCGACTCTAAGGTGAGGGAGTCAGAAATCTTAATACTCCCTTTTCCTGCAACAGATGAAAGTGTACCATATGCAATTTTGACCTTAAGGTTACCAACACAGGGTGGGTATGATGAAAACAAGTGATAGGAATCAGTCATATGATTGAAAGCTCCAGAGTTCACAATCCATGGAGCTTTGACTCAAGAAGTGGTATTTAAGGCAGTCAAGAAATTACCTTTACGGGCTAAAGCAACAGTGGGGACATTGGACGAAGATTGACCAGTTTGAGAACTAGAAAATTTTTTGTAAAGCTGCTCCAACTGTTCTGCGTTAAACCCGCTGCCCGTTACAGCCTCATCACCTCCTTTCTCTTGATTGTTTCCTTCAGTCGTGGCTTGGTATCCTTGACTCTTGTGACTCTGTCGAGGCCTCCAATCAGCCGGCTTTCCGTGGATATCCCAGCAGGTTTCCTTTGTGTGACAAGGCTTGCGGCAGTGTTCACAGATGGGGCGTCCCTTTTTCTGGTTTAGGGTTGAACCTGAAGGTGGTCCACGGGTTACTAATGCTGAAGCTTCTTCGGGTCCAGTTGTGGTCTCCTTCAACATCACCTTCTGCCGGTTTTCTTCTCTCCTAACCTCTGCAAATACTTCTCTTGTTGATGGTAGAGGTCGCCGACTAAGAATCCTTCCTTTAACATCATCTAAGTCATGATTAAGCCCTGCAAGAAATTCAAACACTCTATCATTCTCAAGTTTCTTTTTGTGCCGTACACTATCATTGGTACATTCCCACTCTTCTTCAAAACTCATGTCGAGTTCTTGCCAGAGTTTTCATTTCCATGTAGTAGTCGGTCACCTCCCTCTCTCCTTGCTTCATCTTCCAAAGGCGAGTTTTGATCTCAAAGATCTGAAAAGAATCTTCAACATCGGAGTAAGTGTCCCAAACGGCGTCCCACACATCTTTAGCTGTTGGCAAGAATAGGTAAGTTTTTCCGATGAAAGGCTTCATGGAGTTGACCAGCCACACAATCACCATTGAGTTCTCTGATTTCCATTTCTGCAGGGCAGTAACTTCAGTTGATGCAGGCCTCTTTGCTTCTCCGGTCAGGTACCCCAACTTTCTCTTGCCTTCGATTACAAGCTTGATGGATTGAGCCCATTCACAGAAATTCTTGCCGTCCAACTTCTCTATGGTGAGTTGGAACGTTGAGTTGTCAAGTCCGCTTACTCCTATGGCTGACATCTCCTCTGTTTTTCTCTCCGACGACACTGAAGAGGAGGAAATTGAATCCTTATTGCTAGGATTTTTAGACATTTTAGCTAGGGTAAGTGTACCCTGGCTCTGATACCATGTGAGCAGAGAATGTTTTTTATCTCTTATTTTCTGATTTGAATAAGAACATATACAGCCCTATTTATACAACATTAGGATTGGCTACCATAATGGTCCTGATAATTAGCCTAAATTACTCTTAAGTCAACTATAATACAAACAATTACAATCAATCATAATCATCAATTACAATCAATCATGATCATTCCAAATCAATCATTCTGGGATTCCTATAATCAGTTCGGGATTTCTACAGATAGAGTAATGTTTTTGGGCTGGCTTTAAAATACTCGTTGAGCTGGAAAATGCGTTGCTCGTATCTAGCCAATACATAGATTTGTTTGGTCAGAAAGGCCTACGCACATCGGCTTTAATCTCTTGAGCTGAAACTGAAATGTTTTTATGATTGAGGCATGACTATTATGGTTCCGGCTGACCCAGTTTATTACGTTGTAGCTATTGTAGTGAGTTTTCGTCCTGTTTCAGAGTTAACTTATCTCCATGTTTTCTTTCATTTAATAGATACTTGCATGCATGAGTATTTCATGTTAACGTTGGATGTATAGATTGTAACGCTAACATTATATGATTCCTAGGGCCTTTCTTACAATGCAAAGAAAAATATACTCTATGTAGCAGATACTGAAAACCACGCTTTAAGGTATTTTTTTTTTTTTTCCGTTTACTCAATATTTGGAATATATTAGATTACTAGCATCTGTTTATTGACCTTTTGCTTACGAGTTTGTAATTAAATAGCTTCCACAAATGCAGGGAGATTGATTTTGTTAACGAGACTGTTCGTACTCTTGCTGGAAACGGCACTAAAGGTTCCGACTTTGAAGGAGGAGGAAAAGGAAGTACACAGGCAAGACTAAACTAGTCAATTTAATTCGCTTGAAAATTGTCAGGCTTTTTTGCATCGGACCCCTTGAACTATTTGCGTTTGGCAACTTAGTCCCTAAATTAAAAATTTTTACAATCAACCCCTTAAACTTTAAAATCTGTTGCCTGACAAGTCCAATTAATGACTTCGTATTGTCACGTGGGCATCTTATCAGAGGCCAAATTATAATTTAACAAGAAATTGTATTCTTTTAAATAAAAGGAAAACTAAAACATTAAAGAAAAATGTGCCGGCAAATACTCAACCACCATATCAGTTCCTTCCCTCATCCAAAATATTCCCTGTGAATACATAGAAGTAACATTAAAATCTCAACATCACAGGCTCTTGACCACATCAGAATCATCAAATTGGAGGGAAAAGAAAGCAAAAAGAGTCTTTATAAAACTGACTTTCAACAAAAAATCACAAAAGGAGTACTAAAATTGAATTCTTGCCCAGAATGGATTCATTCGTCTTGAAAGAAATTTCATCAGAAAGGGCCTTTTTTTTGTCATTTCACTTCTTTTTTGTCATTTCACTTCTACAGCCAATACTACTGACTTGTTTGTTTTAGATTTTTTGGATGGGTTTGTAACTGTAAAGTAAATTAGGTGGAGAAAGTATTGACATCACTCGAAGGGAAGCTTGTCAGAGTCTTCAATGGCTTAATCTGTTAGGTGGAGGAGGGTGGCCTTCCTCCATGTTGAATTCCGGCATTCAATCAGTTAGAAATCTTAGGGATTGTTTATTTTTTTTGAATGATTTTAGGAGAAGAATCTGGTATTATATTACCGGATTCCTTGTTACTATTTCCTAGTTTAGTGAAGATTGTTTCCTTGTTTACTCTAGTCTAGGATCTTTACTTAAAGAAAGTTCCTCTGTATATATTCTTTGTATATTTTCCATTCTAAAGTAATAGAAAATCAGAGAGCAATTCATTCTCTCAAATCCTACATGGTATCAAAGCCATTAGGAATCCTATCGGTCGTAGCGACCTTTGATCTCTGAAACCTAATTCTCCCTCATGACCAAGTACGCCATGACTACTGAGAGATCAAGCTCAATATAGGAAGTGAACTCCAGCCACGAAGTGGCATCTGCCATCAATCATCATGGGGGAGCGGAAGGCACCTCTATCCTCATCACCAATCACAAACTCAATGGCCATAATTATCTTTAGTGGTCTCAATCTGTGATGTTCATCTGCGGGAAGGGCAAGGATGAATATCTCACCGATGAAATCACAATTCCAGATAGGAAGGATCCCAAATTCAGGACATGGAAGACTGAAAATCATATGATTATGTCTTGGCTAATCAACTCAATGAACGACGACATAGGAGAAAATTTTCTCCTATACGGGACTGCAAAGGAGATATGGGATGCAGCACGAGAAACATATTCCAATTCAGAGAAAACACCTCAGAACTGTTCGAGGTTGAAGCCGCACTACATGACATGCGCCATGGAGATCTTACAGTCACTCAATACTTTAATACCCTCACGTGCCATTGGCAGCATCTCGACATGTTTGAAGTCCATCTGTGGAAGTGCTCAAAAGATACAAAACTATACAGGAAAATTGTAGAGCAGAAAAGAATTTTCAAGTTCCTTCTTGGTCTCAACAAAAACCTAGACAAAGTCAGAGGGAGAGTGATGGGAATGAAACCTCTTCGAAGCATAAGGGAGGCCTTCTCAGATGTCCGTCGAGAGGAAAGCAGAAAGAAGCTAACCATGGGATCTCAAAATTCTGCTCCAACCCTTGAAGGATCTGCATTAGCACCCTGAGGATCCCAGACAAACAACCTGAGTGAAAACATGCAGAGAAAAGGAAGATCGTGGTGTGATCACTGCCTCGCAGAGACTTGCTCGAAAATCCATGGCAAACCTGTTGATTGGAAGCCATCACGACCAAACAATGAAAGGAGAGCCTTGTTAGTGTTACTGCCACCTTAGAGGACAAGGAGAGCCATGCAAGTTCTACTCCATCCGAAAACAATCCATTCACTAAAGAGCAACTTGAAGTCCTTCAAAAACTCTTCAGTCAGAATGTTTTATCTCAGACAACCACTACTACCTCTGGATCTAGCATGCTAGCACACAAAGGTAATCTTTCAAAGGCCTTTGCTGTTAATAAACTTGGATTATTGACTCAGGGGCTTCGGATCATATAACGAGAGATGCTACCATATTCCACAAGTACAACCCATGTCTTGGGAATTATACAGTTCGAATAGCAGATGGTTCTTCATCCAGGGTTAAGGGAACAGGCTGAATCAGAATCACAAAGGATGTAAACCCTACATTTAGTTCTTTCTGTTCCTAATATAAACTGCAATTTACTCTCCATCAGTAAATTAACTCGTGATCTCAATTGTGTGACTAAATTCTTTCCAAATAATTGTGAATTTCAGGAATTAGATTTGGGGAAGACGATTGGCAATGCTGAGATGTGTTCTGGACTCTATCTCCTCAAAGATGACAATCCTTCAAGAAGGCAAATTCAGAATACAAGTTGTGTGTCATTTAAGAGTCAATCATGTCTAAATACTTTTGTCAATAAAGATAGTGAAGTTATGTTATGGCACTATCGTCTTGGTCATCCTAATTTCATGTACCTTCAATAACTATTTCCATCATTATTTATCAATAAAAATGCAAGGTTCTTTAATTGTAAAGTTTGCCAGCTTTCAAATACACTCGTAATATCTATCCCAGTTCCTCATATAAACCATCCCGTCCCTTTACTTTGATACACAGTGATGTATGGGGTCCCTCAAGAGTATAATATATTACGGGAACAAGATGGTTTGTATCCTTTGTTGATGATCATACTAGATTGACATGGGTGTTCCTTATGAAAGAGAAATCTAAATATGGACACAATTCCATGATTCAGACACAATTCCAGACCAAGATCCAAGTCCAAAAAACTGACAATGCCAAAGAATACTTCAAATCTATCCTAGATACCTATCCCACGAGTCAAGGAATTGTTCACTTAAGCTCGTGTGTTGACACTCCCCAACAAAATGGGATTGCATAAAAGAAAAATAGGCACTTATTAGAGGTAGCTCGGTCTCTCATGTTCCAAAACATTTTTGGAGAGACAGTACTCAACCACATATCTCATCAATCGGATGCCCTCTAGAGTTCTCAAGTTCCAAACTCCATGTAACATTCTTCTCCAAAACTTCCCACACCAAATTCATCTCCTCTTTAGATTCTAAAGTATTCGGGTGTTCTGCCTTTGTCCACATACACTCTTAACATCGTGGCAAGTTAGACCCAAAATCCATCAAATGTCTCTTTCTTGGGTACTCCTCACACCAAAAGGGTTATAGGTGTTACTCTCCCATTTTTTTAACAGCAATCCTTCTTTTCCAAACCTGCAATTCAGGGGGAGACCTTGTGGGAACATCAACTTTGGGATCTTGACATACAGTCCGGGGAGAGTCCATTATCTCAACCTAATTCATCACCTATTTCAAATCCATCTCAACTACCCAAGAGTCTTCCTATTCCTACACAATTTGAAAGTCATCCTTCTACAAGCCCTTCTCCTACAAGTTCATCCCCCTCTCTTGTCCGAGATCATCCTCAACAAAGTGCCAATAAGGAACTAATTGTTTACTCCTGGAGGAATTCTGGAAAGGAGATAGAGCACACAACACCTCTTATACTTGACCAAGAAGCTTATTCGGATCCAATGCCTACTCAAATTCACTCAGGTAAGGAAAACCTTAATCTTGAGACTTCAACGCCGATTATGGATGATCTAAATATTCCAATCGCTCTGAGAAAAGGGTGTTAGAACTTGTACAAATCATCATATCTACCGATTTGTCTCATATAAAGGATTGACACCATTCTATCAGGCCTTTGTGCCCACCTCCTAACAGCTTAAGTTTTTGGGATGGATTGATAAACTAACAGTATATATTCTTTGTATCTCTTCCATTCGAAAGTAATAGAAAATCATAGAGCAATTCATTCTCTCAAATCCTACACTCCACAACCGAAAATGCGTAATGACTAGAAGAAGAAGAAGAAGAAGAAGAAGAAGAATGGACTCGTACGCAAGAAGAATCACATCGGCAGCGGTGAAACGGGGCTGGGCTCGGCTAAAAGGGACGCACGAAGAATCGCGCTGGCGGTGGTGAGACAGGGCTAGGCTCAACAAAAAAGAACTCGCACAAGAGATCCAGATGCAGATCGTCGCAATTGTGGACCTCCTGAGCCAAGAACGCTAAAATGGGAACTAATTTGAGATGGATCTCTCCGGTGGCTCATTACCATTGGTTGGGAACATAGAAAGGGTTGAGATGGGGGATAGGGTTTCTCTTTCTTTTCATATTTTGGTTCCTTTTTTTTTTTAAGTTTCAGTTTTTCTTTTTATTTAAAAGAGCACAATTTCTTGTAAAATTATAATTTGGCCCCTGATAAGGTGCCCACGTGAAAGGCACATGACAATTCCTTTCAAAATTTTAAGTGTCATTAATTGGACTTTCCATGTAACAGATTTTGAAGTTTAAGGGGTTGATTGTTTTTAGTTTTGGGACTGAGTTGCCAAACGGGAATAGTTCAGGGGGGTTCCATGCAAAAAAGCCAAACTTGTCATCCTCCATTGTTAAGAACTTGGATGTTTTGTTTTCTGATTTGCTATATGCGCATTCTAGAGCTAAGGGCTAACCAGAACTTATTCTTGTATTTTTGGACAATCGTATGCTTTTGGTTTAAATGTTTTGAATCTTCTACTATCAGCTCCTGAACTCTCCATGGGATGTCTGCTTTGAGCCAGTCAATGAAAAAGTGTACATTGCTATGGCTGGCCAACATCAGATCTGGGAGTACAATATATCAGATGGAAGCACCAGAGCATTTAGTGGTGATGGTTATGAAAGAAACCTAAATGGCTTTAGGTATAACTATATAAAGATGCTCTGTAGGATAACGTTTTTCAGGATAATGTTTTTCTGTACAAGTTTTTTCCAACCCTTCAGGTTTATATTCTAATGGATATTTGTCGCTTCCCCCACCCCCCTTCTTGAATAACACGGAAAAAATCCCGAGTCCTTTTAGTTTGAAACCAAAAGTAAAGCTGTGCCGGCAAATAATTTAGGTGGTCAGATGAGCTGACTATTTAGGATGTAGAAAATTTATTTCACAGTATTGATCTCTGTTGTAACTGCAAAAATGTCCAGAAATTTCAAAACCAAATTTTAGAATATAGGTTCGTTGAGGGACAACTTTACATCGAGAGTGGGCTTGTGCACTTTTTTATCCGTGTGCATTTGAACTCTTGATATTTGTGCATCTTATTTTGTTTAACCCTTATATCAATAGCAAGCTCAGTGTTCTCTTTTTGCAATTCGAAATTTCAAGTGTGGTTGTTTTCAGCTACCATCTACTCCTAAAACTTTGACGCTATTTTTTCCCTATCGAGACAGCTCAACAAGCACATCATTTGCGCAGCCTTCTGGAATTTCATTATCTCCTGGTAATAATTGTGATTTTAGGATACTTCGGAAGATTGTGTTATAATTTTAGTTGTTCTACAGAGATGTCCATCCATTATCCACCCTTTTGTGATTTTTGTAGATTTGACTGAGGCTTATATTGCTGATAGTGAGAGTAGCTCCATTCGAGCACTTAATCTGAAAACTGGAGGATCTAGATTCCTAGCTGGTGGTGATCCATTATTCTCAGACAATCTGTTTAAGGTAATTCTCTTTCAACCTTGGAAACCTGTTAAATAGTGGACAGATTTCCTTTTCACAATAAATTTATCCTTTTGGTTTATGAAATATTTGCAGTTTGGAGACCATGATGGGATAGGGGCTGAAGTACTCCTTCAACATCCATTAGGTGTCCTGTGTGCAAAAGACGGTCAAGTTTATATAGCCGATAGCTATAACCACAAGGTAGAATGGTCATTACTGAAGATATGCGAGGAAGATACAATTACACTATATTAAAGCATTTAACCATGTTAAAGTATAAAACTATTGTTGACCCACCTCCTAACAGCTTAAGTTTTTTGGATGGATTGGTAAACTAACATGGTATCAAAGCGGGAGGTCCTAAGTTCAATCCCCTGTAATTGCACTCTTTATCCCCATTTAAATTGTCATCATGTGTTGAGTATTTAATATATCTCGGGCTTAAATACAGCTTAAGTTTTTGAGATGGATTAGTAAACTAACAAACCATATATTTGTTTGTCTTAGTTCCCCATGAAGTTTATTGTGCCTTTATGCTTTATAAATGAGTTTCTTTTTCTTTTTTTTTTTCTTTATAAATGAGTTTGTTACATCCTTTTATCTTTTGTTAAATGTTATAGCCCTGATGTTGAAATTTAAGAACGAGAATAATTTAAACTTTGCGAGCTTTATATCATGTTGTCCTGATAGGTTAATACTAATATTGTCTTGTATGTACTCTCTGTTTGCACTTTACATCACTTCAACTCCTGATTAATTTCAATTTTCAAAATAAAAGAATAATAATGTTTTAGGAATCCAACTCTTTTGAATTATCATTGTTATATATACTTATTTCCATTTTCTCTCGTTGGAATTAATTTCTTTATTTGCTTTGAAATTTCAGATTAAGAAGCTAGATCCAGCTAGTAAAAAAGTTACCACCTTAGCAGGTACAGGGAAAGCTGGTTTCCAAGATGGAATGGCCCTAGAAGCTCAGGTTGAAAATTATTTTGTGTTTATTGGACATTCTTTATACAGAAACTGCACATAAAACTATGAAATATTTAGATGTAAAAAGTGAATAAAACACATACAATCTAGAGATTGAATATTCTAGCCCCGTTTGTTTCACTAGTTTAGCTCAATTCAACTCAGTTCGAACAGTGAGCACACTTTAAACTCATGTTTAGTAAGCACATAGTTCGAATTATATTCCCTGTTTGAACTGAGTTAAACTGTCAACTTAGAGTTTAGCTCCCCCATTAAGTTCAATTGTTCAAACCATTTTTAAACAATAAAAAGGCGCCCACTCTATTTGCTTTTTGCACCTACCAAACACAAAGTTGAATTTTATTCCCTGTTCATATTAAAATTTTAACTGCACATCCAAATGCTAATTCAAACTATAATTTAAATTACACAGTTTGAAATTTTCTATTCAAACAAAAAAGTTTAAATTAACAAAATTTGAACTATAGAACCAAACAAGGGCCTAGTTCATTCTCTTTATTAGTTGAATGATGGGTTTTTTTTTTATTTTTTATAACTGAGAATGTGATGATGATGATGATGGTATTATTGCCCCTCTATGGTGAATATATCACCTTTAACGCATTTATGTTTTCTTGTTGCAGCTTTCAGAGCCATCGGGAATCATTGAAGTAGAAAACGGTGAGGCTTTCTTTTGTACACATGTCACCTACATTTTAGAACCATGATATCAGGATGCACTTTTGCAAAATTATGTTAGAAGCTTGGCTAAAGTGTGAAAGTTGTTATATAGACCGTAGTAGCTATTTCAATTATGAAGATAGGAACCCTTTAATGTGATATATCCGTTCAGACTGAACTTTGAATTCCACTTTATTTTCTTCATTTCCTTGCAACTATAAATTGTCTATCCTCTATGTTGCTCTGCCTTTGCAAACTACAAAGTTGATTTTCCAAATAAGGAAAGAATGGACCACCAAAGAAAGCTCTTTTGTCGGCCTACATTTTGTAAAATTTATTAGTTGGTTTTCATGATACAAAACTACTTCCAAGAAGGAAACAATGTTACTATACGGTTCGATATACAGATATTAACCAAAAGTGAATAAATCTAATGAGGAAGACAATGTTATCTACCACACGTTTGAGGTGAAAATTTTCATCTTGTCAAATGCGGTACTTTCCTTATAATGCACATGAATTTTTGAAAATGTGTTTAACAGAGTGTTTGAGAATATAGAATCACCTGTCTATCTTGTGCCCTTTAGTAAAGAGTACTGGAAATTAGCTATTTGTTTATTCATTCATTTTTCTATACATTTCTTACAGGAAGACTTTTCATTGCTGATACAAACAACAATTTAATCAGATATCTGGACTTGAGCAAGGAAGTACCCGAGCTTTTGACTTTAGAGCTGAAAGGTGTTCAGCCCCCTAAAAAATCCAAATCACCAAAGCGACTTAGGAGAGCAGCACCAATGGATGCACAAACCATCAAAGTTGACGGCACTTCATCCAGTGAGGGCAACCTGTCTATTAAGATATCACTACCCAAAGAGTATCATTTTTCAAAGGTTCTTTACTCCTTGTAACACGCACAAAAAGCTTTGAATCCATTAATCTAGCTAGTACTGGTTCTCCAACTATTTTCGCATTCATTAACGTAGTAATCCCAACTCTTATCACTCCAGGTTTTCTCTATGCAGGAGGCTCGCAGTAAATTTAGCGTTGACACTGAGCCTGAAAATGCAGTGATTATTGATCCCTTGGATGGATATCTTAGTCCAGATGGATCTGCAACTTTCCACTTTAGGAGATTTTTGCCCTCTGCTTCAATGGGCAAAATAAATTGCAAGGTAACCTCCTTTTTTTCCTTGTAAATTTCAATTATATATTTGTACAATTCTTTATCTTGTGATGCGGATTTATGAGCAAATGCACTATTTTTTTGCAATTAAATACAACTACGAGTCATGACAGCTCTTACAACCTCCACCAGTTTCCTATAGAATATAGGTCTTATGAGCCTTATAACATCCTTATACTAAATATGGATCCCATCTTTTTGATATTCGAACATAAAATCTTAAACTTAAGAGTCCTACTTTCATGTTGATCTTGTAAAAGACACAAGCACCACACCACTCTGTAGTCCATCTGAAGCTATTTTAGCTACCAAAAGAGTGGCCTTTTTTTAATTATTTTATTTGAGTAGCAGTGTCATATGCTACATTCTTTCTGAATTTATTGAATGCTACTTATTTAATTTACCCAAGTATGAGAAGATAAATATAGTGAAGTATATGCGTCTCTAAGTTTAGATGCTTTAAGTCAATCACCATTCCAAACCAAGAAATGGTAAATATGAATCAGTTCGTGACCAGGAACTTCCCCAGTTCTAATAGTTGTGTTCTGATAAAAATGTTGGAAATCTTGAGGGAAAAGAGACTTGAAACACGTAGAAAGTACGCTTTCCTTAAAGCGTAATTTGCCCCTCTCGTTAGAGATTGCTTTGGGTTCTCGGCAAATCGCTCGCAGGATATGACAAGCCTTCAAGTTGTTAATTACAAGCAAAATGACAACAACACTAAGAACACAAGAACTCTTTGAATTTCTGGAATTTTTTGAACAAGAAGAGGGAAGAATTGTAGAGAATTTTTCTCAATAATTTTTTTTTTTTTTACAATTCTTGGTTCTTTTTTTAGTTTTTACAGACACAACCAAACTTGAAAAATCACCTTTTTCATTTGAATTGTCAATTCAAGTTTCAAAAGCATGTCTCATCGTTGCGGCGCTGCAGCGGAATGTTCCGGGCGCTACAGTGCCTGTTTCTGGCAAACCAGAAACTGTCCATGCAGGGCCGAGCGCTGCAATGCCCATCACTGGCGCTGCAGCGCCCATTCCAGCGCTGCGGCGCCCAAACTCGATGCCAATGCACCCTGCCTACTGGAAATGACATCCATTCCAGCGCCGCGGTGCCCAAACTCAGCACCAAAACGCCCTGCTTGCTAGAAATTATGTCCATTTCAAACGCGGCGCCCAAATTTGGCGCCAAAGCGCCTTGCCTGCTGGAAATGAATACCCCTTAAACACAGAGAATGCAAGGCGCTTTTATATGTGATTAAACTCAACAAATTCTTATATATTATATTTAAACAATCCTAACAAAAAAAGTACCGTTCCTTAATCTTCAGAAATAAAAATAATTAAGCTTACAATTCCTCAGTAGACTAGGGATCTTTTTGCAGGTCTATTATTGCAAGGAGGATGAGGTTTGTCTGTACCAGTCATTGTCATTTGAAGTACCTTTTTTAGAGGAAGTTGCAACATCTATACCAGCCGAAATCACTCTTCCATATCTTGTGAAGCCAAAAAGTTCAACAAGCAGCTTACAGCTATCGGTTGCCTCATAACGTTGATACGTTTGTGTAAATAATAGTAAGGTCTATGTCTCTATCTCGATCGCATTCTTATATTGATTCTTGAATTATTATGTCAAATGTGATGATGCACTTGGATTGACCGAGTATGCACATGAAAATATATACTAGGAAAATGAAGGATAAATTGCCCTTAGAAATTCATATTTTCTTTTTTTTTTCTTAAAGGAAGAAATTAGTGAAACTATGGGAAATAGACTCTCGTTGCAAACAAAGATTGCTGGTGTAAACCCACCTTTTCCCCCTCTTTGAAAGTTTTTTGTCGTTTCAGCGGGAAGTACCGCACAATGTTTGTCTTTTTGCTTATCAAAAGTTTGCAACGACACGCCAGTTTTAACGTAAAGGTTTTTTGGTGTAGTTCAATTGATCCAACAGCATCTATATCGTCCTTTAGAATTTTGTTGTCTGAAAAGCGACATGTATTGTATCCTGCACGATGATGTCGTTTCGCTGTAAATTGACAATGTGTTTTCCTATGGTGTCGGACGGGCTTTTCTCGCTTGTTTGGTAACGTTAAGCTTTGGCTTTGGTTGTTCTTGCACCTTTTCAAAGTCATAACATGGAATAAATGGCCTATTACACCATAATATCTACATGTTACATGTGTATAATATAATCGGTTCTACTCAAGGATTGTAAAAGGTCGGAATATATTGTTACTGTCGTGTCTTTTGAAATAAGTGCGTTTTCCTTTAATCTATTTCCTTAAACATGTATTTTCTTCCAAGGTTTTTTTTTTGTCGTTTATGTGAAAACTGATGGATATAAAACATTTTCAAGACTAATAAACACAATAAATCTTGACAATAATCCAAAATTATTCAAAACCTTATTTGGTATTTGAGTATTCTTGATAGATGGAAATAGAGGATTACCTCTCCCCCTCGTAGCAGTGGAAAAGCATCCCCATGAAGTCGGAGAGTGATGGTGGCCAGCCGGATTCCGGTGGGTACCTAAAATCACCAAACAGAGAGCTAGAGAAGTTTTGAGTTCCCCTCTCCTCTCCTCTCCTCTCCCTCTCACATTCGGCCACTCACTTTCACACCTCACACAACACACAAAAGACAGTATATGCCTATTGACTAAAAACTCAAAGTGGGTTATTGGGTCTTTTTCCAAAAAAAATTGTATAAAGCGGGTATTTGATACAATGGCTGATCAAAATTATTATGAGACAAAACCCAAGGCCTCAAGCATAGAGATTATATTTAGTGGATTATTTTGCATCCACTAAATTCATTTGTCCCCACTAAATCATAAATTATATTTATTACAATTTTATCCTGTATGAAAATTACATTAAAACCCACTAATATACCTCCACATTAACTATATATAGAAATAATATTCATTTCAAAGAAAAAAAAATACACCCACATTAACTACAATTGAAAAGTATTCTTCAAAGGAATAAAAAAAAAAAAACGTACCCCTACATCTTTAATCAATGTTAATTTCATCTTCATAAACCCTAAACTTTTCTCAATTAAATTGTTTAAAAATCTGAACGGAGGTTCCAGTACAAAAAAACAACAACAATGAAAAAAATATAATATTTAGTTTCTTAGAGACATTAGTTTTGACATCTTTTTAGTTATAGGCGCAGTAGATAGGTTTAACAATCTACCAGAAAAATGATGAGAGGAAAAAAAAATGTTGCAAACCCGGCATTGAGTTCCACGCTTAATTCCATCAATTGAATATTAGTCCATCCCTTGGTTAGTTCAATCTAGATTTAAAAAAAAAAAAAAAGCGCTTTTCTGATTACCAAAAACCTGACGGAGCATAATAGGCGACAAAATGACAAACTGAATTTAAAATATAAAATCCCAGACATGAATAGTTGAAAGAAATTGCATTATTTAATAAATCAAATGAAAATAAAAATCAGATTAGGGGGTATGAGAGGGTTAACTTAGGTATTATAAAAATAATATCTATAAAATGATAAAATTTTCAAATCTTTATTACAAGAGTATTAATTACTGAGGGTATTTATAAATTTTCGGAGTGCAATTATAATTACTCATGAGTAAAAAATAATTGTCCACCCCATTGTAGCTCACGATATAGTAATTGTCATTTTGGCAACTGGATTTTCTTTTTGTCTTTCAGTCTTCTATTTGCTTTCTCAGTGTTATTTTTCTACATTTCTTTGGCTTTTGGGTTTTTTTTTCTTTGAGTCTTATGCTTCTTGTCTCGGTTTTTTTTTTTTTCTTCTTTGGGTCCTATTTTTTTTCCTTTGGTTTTTATGTTTCCTTTGGTTTGATTTGAGATTAAGTTCTATGATTAAATTTTTATTTTTCTTCTAGGGACTCTTGCAATTTATTTGTGTTTTGCTATTGTAAGTATAATGACCGAAAAAATCCCATAATTTAATAATATAATTTATGTATTCAAGTCAAGAATTTTCTTGGAGAATATCATGTTATATTTTGTAACTGACATATTTATGAAATTAATATCAGTATTTCTAAATTCTGTAGTAAATTTTATGTTAAGTTCATATTTTATGAGCAAGTAAATTCAATCCATAAATTCTCGCCGCGATTTAAGGCGGAAGAATTTTCAGTCCGTATACAATTTGAGAATTTTAATATCAAGAATCTTTAAGTACAGTATGATGTTAGCAGCGTATCGAGAAACGCTCTGACATTCAAAGAGATATCCTTAATTTGCCAAACAGATAAGTTGAAGTCATGAGGGTAATGTTTTAGTAAAGATATACAATGAGCTCGGGAGTTGATACCATCGGTAACGTTGTCATTCCTGAGATATAATGCAGGAAAAGTTAAGTTTAAAATTTATTAGAAATGATTTCAAGACAGAAATAGTCTGAAATATTACGCGATTAAGAGTTTAATTCGATATTGAATTATTCGGGGATTAGTATCGGACATAAATAAATGGTATAAAAGGAACCATGGAAACCAAAAATTCATGTCGACTAAGTTAATCCCCTACAATCAATATAAATTTTGACTGCTTTAAATGAAATCTTAAAAGATAAGCTTGAAGGGCAAAGAAAAGATGTGATGAGATGTGAATTTATGGAGGTTAATCGTGAGATTCTTAAGATAAGCTTGAAGGACAAAGAAAAGATGTGATGAGACATGAATTTATGGAGGCTAATCATGAGATTATTTTCTCTCTTTTTTCTCCATTTATGGTTGGCCATGCATAAGGAAACTAACCAAAAAAATTTGCTAATTAAGTTAGCTTGATAGGCTTAATTAAGAAGCTAAGAGAAGATTAAGCAAAAGCCTATAAATACTAGATAATTAGTGCAAGCACCAATTTGGCCTATTTTGCACATATCCTCTCCTTTTCCTACACACAAAACGGACCCCTGTCTCTCTCCATTTCTTCTCAAATTTTTCTCCCACTCTTCTAATCCTAAACCATTAGCAAACATTAGAAGAAGAAGAAGAAGAAGAAGAAGAAGAAGAAGAAGATCAAAGTATTTTAGGAGGAGTCTAGCCAAGGATCTTTCTTCAAGGGTGTAAACTTTAAACCCTTTCTCTCTTATTTTTCTAGCAAAGTTTAAGTTTGAGAATCCATTGATGTAATTTGTGGTTCTTGAGGAAATAAATTTGTAATAAGGGTGTGTGAGTTTTATGGTGGTTTTTGTGTGTTTTGAGGTTAGTTTGATTAGTGGTATGTAGTATGTTTATGTTTGGTTCAAGTTTTGTTTATTTTGGCTAGAGGTAACATGTATCCGGTTACTTCGAACGCGAAAATGAGGATCGTAGATTGAGGTTTTTCAGTTACTCTAAGTTTAAACTTAGAGTTCTCGATGTTTTGAACGTTTTTCGGTGATTGTGAATAAACTCAATTTTAACTCTAAATACTGTTAGAAAATACGGCATCGAGTGCGCAACGAAATTTTAAAAAAATTTTTAAATCAATGCCAAAGCCAACCAAGAACATGTTCATATGCTATATAACATAAATACTAAAGATCTAAATAATACATTTTGATATTTAGGAAACTGCACGTCTGACAGATCAAAGCGTTCCAAATAGGAATCGGAAGTTGCACAGAGCCTCAATTTTGATTCAAGCAACCAACTGGTCTTCTTTGTTATTCTCGTTTCCACGATCGGAGTGTGGGTGGGCACACGTCATTCAATCTCCTCTTGGTATTCTTGAACTCCTTCCAACCATAAGAGAGCCAAAGGAAAAATTGTTCTTGAGAATTAAACTATTTTTCCTTTCAGGAATCTTTTGCCAATAGCCTCCAAAAAGTCTCTCAAGTGATCTAATGAATAATGTGACTTAATGGGCTATTTATAGTGTTTAGGAAGTCATATTTCCGTAACAATTAGGTTTCCTAAAGTTTATCTCGCTTACAGAGTCAATTTCGCCACGTCAACATGCGCTACACGTTACAACCGGTCGACCAGTGACAGAGACGTTACAACTCACCGGTCGACATGTGCTTCATGAACTGGTCGACCGGACCGGTTGACCTGTCTGAACTAGCGAAACTTATTTTCCTAGTTTTCTAACACAGGAAACTTGCACAGAGCCTCAATTTTGATTCAAGCAACCAACTGGTCTTCTTTGTTATTCTCGTTTCCACGATCGGAGTGTGGGTGGGCACGCGTCATTCAATCTCCTCTTGATATTCTTGAACTCCTTCCAACCACAAGAGAGCCAAAGGAAAAATTGTTCTTGAGAATTAAACTATTTTTCCTTTCAGGAATCTTTTGCCAATAGCCTCCAAAAAGTCTCTCAAGTGATCTAATGAATAATGTGACTTAATGGGCTATTTATAGTGTTTAGGAATTCATATTTCCGTAACAATTAGGTTTCCTAAAGTTTATCTCACTTACAGAGTCAGTTTCGCCACGTCAACATGCGCTACACGTTACAACCGGTCGACCAGTGACAGAGACGTTACAACTCACCGGTCGACATGTGCTTCATGAACTGGTCGACCGGACCGGATGACCTGTCTGAACTAGCGAAACTTATTTTCCTAGTTTTCTAACACATGAAACTTGCACAGAGCCTCAATTTTGATTCAAGCAACCAAATAGAGAAGTTGCCTGGTCAAAATAGTCATATAATAATCTTCCCATATTAAATAACTCTTAAAACAATAATTCAACCAATTTATCTAGAATTAATTTATCAATTTATCTAGAATTAATTTTTCAATTAATTTACCCGATAAATTACTCATGAATTAATTAATCAATCTCCTATTAACTTTGAACCTCTTTTATAGAAATAACACAAGTTACCAATATGTAAGAAATACATTGTATCATTATAAGACATTATGTGAGCTAGCAAAGGGACCCGATGGACATATATAAATTAAGCTCCTATAATCGCAACACTACTTGTAAACCAACAAGTCCGTCTCATGATTATAAAACTCTAGCGCTACTCCACTAAAAGCCTAGAGCTGCACTCTCGATTTATATAGCATATTTACAAAGCTCTGAATAGCTCTCATCCATGACTCAATATATTAGTGTATCATCCTCATAGGATATCCATAATCGACTTAAGGTCAAGTTACGATTTACCTTCCCGATTACATTTATCATATG